GGATTGAGGAACAGCCCTAACTTGCGGGAATAAACAGTCCACAAGATGTTTGGTGGGTTGCTTTCCCTAATATTATAGGCCAAGGAAGCAACCATCTATATTTACATCCTTCCCTCCATGTCGACGTTCTGTCTCGGGCCCTGGACTACATTAGGGCACATTCCCTCTGTTGATTTAAAAGTTGCTTATGGGTTGTGGGGGGAAGGCAGGCACACAAACAGAAGTTCATTCAAAGCACTTTTGGAACTCTTTTTCTGGAATGGGCCATCAGACCAGTTGTCATGTGAGACTGGACAATTAAGTTTGAGAACTCATCTTAGAAAAAGTGCTTTGAAGGGTGGACTAGGCGCTGGCATCAGTGCACAGCTTCCCAAGGGGAGAGGACTTTGAAGGTGACTGCAGTGATATTCAGCAGTGAGGTATGGAGCACTTTGTTAGGACAAGTTCATGAGCTTAATTGTCAGACTGTGTGTGCTGAGAGGTCTGAGGATGTGTGAACTGTAGGGGTGTGTAGGAGGAAGCCCTGGAGAGGGGCCAGCCGGGACACCCCGGACCTTCTGTGCTGACTTGAAGACCTCAGGCTTTACCCGTCATGGATTGGGGATTTGATACAGCATGTGATGTGGTCACGTTTGCTCTACAGCTGCAAAGGATGCCTTTTAAGGGGCCAAGCCTGGAGCCAGGAAAGCCAGTGAGGGAGGCATTGGTGCCAAACAGGTGAGAGAGAAGGACATGAACTGGGGCTGGGAGTGGCAGGGATGGGGCTTTTGAATCAAGCGCCTGCTGATTATTGGGGTGGGAATGAGGGAGAGGGATGGTTGGTGGTTCTATCAGCTGAGATCTGAGATGCAGAAGAAGCAGGTTTAGGAGCAAACCCCAATGTCCTATTGTGGACTTGCTTCTTCTGAGATGGAAGCATCTTTGGCAGAGCGGAAGACAGTATGGAGCTGATGGTGGAGTGTGGAGGTGAGAGGGAGAGAGCTCAGGCGAAGGTGCTGATTAGAGAGTTGTCACTGTGGAGCTTGAATTTGATAGTGGACAGGATGGCTTTTGCAGGGAGGAGAGAGAGCTCTGACGGCAGTGTGAGCGCAGGTGGAAGAAGGGAAGCTTCCAAAGTGACTGAGAAGGAGTTATCAGAGAGCCAGATGTGTGCTGGAGGCAGGGAACCAGAAATTATGAAGTGAGGGAGGCCGAGAGATGGACTTTCAGATGGAGGCAATGGTCCAGTCGGTTCCAAGCACAGCAGAATCGTGCCTAGGGGAAAGATAGAAAATTACCTGTCCCGTCCTGCGGGACACGGTTATTCGGGGGGCGAGGGGGACCCAGCCTGTAAAGAGAATAGGCGAAAGAAAGAGGAAGCAAGACCAAGCAGATTTGTCAAGGTCTCATTTAATGGAGGTAACAGATCAGTTTTTATAGCATTCAGAGAAGACAAGAGGTGGGGGGCAGAGGAATGCAGGAGTTAGAGCTTGCATCAATCTCCTGCTGGGAATGTAAACGATGTGTCTGAAACATTTTATGGCTTCTCT